TATGGTCCCTGCCAAGCTTGAACCTACGACCGAATAAAAGATGGTTCTAGTCACTATGAAGACCGCTAATTTTTCCTCAGAAGTCGAAGAGTTTGTCTAGATACTGACCTAGCCAGAACGCCGGGATTGCTCCCAGTCGACTCCCGGCTATCTACCAGACACATCTTTTCGTCGGTCCCATTTAAGAATTTTGCATCAAAATTTTGTGTTCCTGAAGAAATTTTACCTCAGCTTCTTTGCTGCTGGCAAATTCTACAAACTCATGGTTTAAAATTAAATTTAAGGTATTGTTACGAAATGTACAGGCACGGTAAGATGGCTTCCTCTCAAAGCAGTTTTAGGGTTGTTGGAAATGAAGAAAACGCAGACGACCCCGTTACATCCGCAGTCTGATGGGATGGTGGAGAGGTTTAACTGTAAAATCCTGAACCACCTCCCGCTCATGGTTTCCAAAAACCAAGAAGATGGGATCGCAAGCTCCTTCTGTTCCTGCTTGCTTACCGTAGTGTCGTCCACGAAAGCACCGGCTACTCTCCATCATAGATGCTCTTTGGTTGCGATCTCCGTCTGCCAAGTGGCCTGCCCGCCCTCCGAATGTACGTTCCTCGCCTGAGGAGTACGTGCAAAACCTCCAGGCCAGGTTGGAAACAGTACACAAGTTTGCTCGAGAGCGGATCAACATCTCGACAGACAGGATGAAGAAGAGATACGACGCAAGAGCCACCGAACATCAATTCCAGGAAAACGACAAGGTTTGGCTGTGGAATCCAAGTCGTCGTATGGGTGTTTCTCCCAAACTACAGTCGCATTGGGAGGGCCCATATACAGTCCTGAACAGATTGAACGACGTTGTGATACGGGTCCGGAAATCCCCCAATTCAAAACCCAAGGTCGTTCATTATGACAGATTAGCCCCATACTATGGCCATAGTGTACTTATTGTTTCTCATTCTTAGGGGTAGCCATAATTCTTATGCATGAGTTTTCTTACCTAGTTTCCGTGTAAAGTTCGTATGTAGTGTAAATGTTTGTTTCTTTAGTTATGTTATCTGTATGTTTTAAAACGTTTCGATTGTATCGAATTTGGCTTCTGACCAAGGGCTGTACTGCCCGGAACGTGCAGTCCTTGGGAGGCGGCATTGTTACGAAATGTACAGGCGCGGTAAGATCGCTTCCCCACAAAGCAGTTTTAGGATTGCCATAAAATGGCAAGGGAAGGCAGGGTTGCCACATTTGGCCAGAAATCGCCCATTTGGCGACAAAATTGACGATATGCCATTAACAAATGGAGAACCTTCTGGAACGAATTCTTACCGGTTTAGCCCAGAATGTTCTCGAACACAAGCCGAAAACTATATAAACCCTGCTGGTCCGCAGTCAGTGTGTGTGTGCCTCGTCTATAGTGCAAGTTAGTTAGTATCGAGTTGGTGTCTCGTCCAGCGAGTCAATCCCTGCGGAGTCGATCGATTTGACAGCCGGGGCAGCGAGTGCCGAATGGGTCGTCGACAGGGGCGTAGCTAGAGTTTCCAGCGCCCGGGGTCAACTGAAGAATTTGCGCCCCTTTCTGTGTGCCAAGAATGGAAAACATTTCCTTAAAAGATTTCGTAGAATTACTTTGGCGCCCCTGGATGCTGCGCCCGGGGGACAGATGTCCCCCCTTGCCCCACCTAGCTACGCCACTGGTCGAGTAGTGCACCGAAGGAATCTCTTAGTGTATCGCTGTTAATGCATCTTCGAGATAGCGTGTTGAGCTCCGGGAACGACTGAATCGAAGACTCGGGAGCTGTGCTTGTGTGTCGTCGAGTGCATCGCGAGTTGTAGCGTGGAGAGTCTCGAGAGTACGTGGAATTCCGAGAACGACCAAGCAGAGTTGGAAGCTGTACTCCGGAAAGCAGAGTCGGGGGCTTTCCAGGAAGCACCGTGATAGCCTGATAACCTGAAGGTTGTGTCGCTGATTGTTCCAGCGTGTTTATAGTAGATCTTCGACGACTATAAGAAGTGTTATTTGAGCTTTCCTGATTAATATTGGGTAAATAAAGTGTATTTCGATACTTCATCAAGTGTCGTCGTTATTCACTCCAAATCCACACAAACCCCGTACGAACGTGAAGGAAGAAAATAACGCAACGACTGGTGTCAGAAAAGAAAAAAACGTAACAATATAAAATGTCTCAATTTGTTCATAAAAGCTGCTGTAATACAGCAAAAAGGAACCGATGCTAAAATGATGAAATTGCTTGACAGAAGGATTATTAAGATCTTGGTTGCCTGAAAAATCGTTATGCGCATGATTGCCAAAGTTTGGAATATTCTTAAATTTTGGCGATTTCTACTAAAGTGATTGAAGTAACGCTCAAGTATCAATTTAGCTAGATAACAGAACCAAATTTTCAATAATATAAAGTAGAAATAAACACTTTTTTAAATCTCTTTTCCCCCAGTATTTTCCTCACTCTCTCTGGCTGTAATTCTATTTACTTCCGCAGGTGTAACAAAATGTCGACTATATACCTAAAGGAGCCAAATGGTCACCACGAAGGCTAAAATGAAAACTTATTACGATATCCATGAAATTAATGTCCCTCTTAAACGAAAAGTACTTCTAGAGACTTTTAATGATTAGTTTTAGTGTGGCAATGTTATCTGTATTCCATGAATTAGTTTTTGAGTTGTAGCTTTTGTTTTGGTTTCAGATGTAAACCTTAATAAATTTGAATTTAAACGAAAGATTTGAAATCTTCTTTTCAGAGTTTGACATATGCCTCAGCTACTTCCAGGAAATATTTGAAATTAGAGTCTACTATATTATTTCCTTCTTTTTTTTGGTACAAAGGCTGTTCTCCAAACATTACCCCACATCTCACACCCTTATTTAAAGCAAAATATAGAGATAAATATAATATACCAAGTTTCGAGCTTTGGAATAACTGGTTACCGTATCATAATATTTTTGAGTTAATTTAGTTCAGCCATTAACAGATTACAACTTTTAAATACTATTACGGAAATGTTTAGAAATAATAACAAGAATAGTTCCAATGAATTGTTAAAACAGTCATCGTATTTTATAGTATATCTAAAATGCTAATAATAATTTCTCTACTTGTCAGTTTTGACTCCAGAGTATTAAATTCCAAATTGAAAAATATCATGTAATTTTTCTCATTCTCTTCTAACTGTGTCTTGGGAAACATTTAAAATTTCAAAAGCAGCATTGAAAGCTATTACTTGAAGACCAATATAAAACAATTGCAAGTACTACAAAATAACATTTTACAAGAAATTATCAATGCTCCTTGGTATGTTACAAACACTTACATTCACAGAGACCTACAAATAGAACCTATACAAGACTATATTAAACGCTTAGCGGTAAATTTCTTTCACTCAGTACAATCCCATACAGATCGTATTTTATTCTCGAGTGTCAAGATGTAGAAGTAGCTTTTTACTCGGCTTTTTTCTTACTGGAAGGAAAAGAAAGAAGTATAGTGTAGTAGGAGGTGTGGGAGGGGGGAAAGGTCCGCGCTACGGCGGCGAATTGAGGGAGGGTCAGGTCAGTGTCGTTACAAGATGTAGCAGCGGGTGAAAGACAGCAGAGTTAATTTAACGTGAATGAGTCAATTACGGTCGTAATTCTTATGTGGGTAGGATGTCTCAAAGATACCGATGTTTTTCATCGGGATGCGGGGAGTGTCTGAGAGTGCTATAAGGCTATTACTGTGGGTTTGTACTGAATGGAAGAAGTTGACTGCTAATTGTTTAATATACTCTTGAATAGACCCGATTTGAAGGTCTCTGTGAATGTAGGTGTTAGGAATATATAAAGGAACATTGATAATTTCTCTTAAAATTTTATTTTGCAGAACTTGCAATTGTTTAATATTGGTTTAGCTGCATGTTCCCAGATTGGAGCTGCATAAAGGAGGGCTGGACGAAGTTTGGAGCGATGTAAAGTGAATTTGTTTGTAGTAGATAACTTGTTTCTTCTACCAAGAAGAGGTCACATAGTAGCTGAGGTAATTTAAAATTTCTGTGCTACGGAGCGGAAGTGGGTTCTGAAGGTAAGTTCTTGATCTAGGGTGACTCCAAGATATTTGGTTTCATTAATCCAGTCTATTTCTTCGTCAAATATTTCAGGGGTGGAGGATAGCAGTTCAAGTTTTCCTTACGGAAAATTGATGCCTTGGTTTTATCAGTGTTAATTTTAATCCTCCAAAGGATGAGCCATATTTCTAGTTTTGTGGGATAGTTATGGAGTTGGTTTCTTACGGCGATTGCTGTGCAGGCTTTAGTAAGTATGGCAGTGCCATCGTCAAAGAGTGCAAGATGAACAGACAGTATAATCCCTCAGTAATAGCCTTATTAGCACTCTCATATACTCTTCCCACAACAGGAAAAAACATCGATATCCCTGTGGCATCCTACCCACATAACAACTGTTTGAAATTAATCAATTTCTTGACTTATTTTAATAACTTTGGATGAATGGAAATATATTTCGCAGAGAAAACCTTTTTTAATTAACAACGAACCTCTTTATTTAGCATTCTAAACATATTTTTTTAAAAAAAGGAACATTCCGTTCAAAGCATATAATAAAACATAACACCGTGGCCACGAATAATATACATTATAATGAACATATTAAATTATTATTGTATTAATTGAGTTCGTGCACGTTCCTGAATAACAGCTACAACCAAAATTCACTCATTTACACTTAATTGACTTTGCGATTACACCCGTTGCTGCATCTTGTAACGTCACTGGTCTCATCCCCCATTAACCACTGCTAGCGCAGACAAGATTCTAGCGAGGACAGTAACTTTCAAATAAAATATAGTCTTTATTTTATAATGATTTTGAAATATATGTGAAAGAATTAAAAAAATAATTACGAGTCCACACATCAGGAAATCCAAGCCCCATCAGAAATACACATGTAAACAAACAGCTCAAGACAACTAGTCGGAAAACAACTCTTCGCAACTTTTCGAATGTATGGCATGTTTATTGCGAATTTGCATTGGGTGCTTTTAATCCAGTTCCCATGTGTTGTTATAACTCAAACGCAGTGCGTATAGTACGGTTCATAAATTGAGTATTTTGGTAAATGTGTGATTAATTTTTCTTTTCTTATTCCGTAAGATCAATTTCGGTTAATAATATTATAATCATGGTAAAAGAGCAGTTCAGAGAGTCTCATCTCTCGAAGAAAATGTAAGTATTTTTAATATACTTTATGATTAAATATGTGTACGTATATAGTTAACGAATTCGTTTTTTTAGTCTATTTAATTCATATACTCCTTTGCTTTTGGTAATAAATGTTAATTATCTTTTTGGAAAAAATATTAGTATGTAGTGCTTTCTTTGTTTCTGTTTTTAAATTAGTTATCTAATTCGTTAATTTTGGTCTTTCAATATTTGTCAGAAATGTCGAATATTTTATTGTTATTCGTTTTGTAAATAAGTAATGTGTGTCTCTTAAATTTAATTAATGCTTTACTAGTTCTTTTCTGATTATCTGCCCTACCACCAAAAACTCATAAAAAATATTGGTGATGCAGCATCATGTCACCAAAGAATATTTATGTGGCAAACCAAACTTTACGTAGCACACATGTGTGCGAGTGCATGTGAATTTGTCCTTTTGCAACTTAATGGTAATTTTTCTGATTACTTTCTTTTTCAACCCAGTACAGTAAGACCATACATAATGCAGAGTATATATTTTTCAGATATGTTATGTGGGGATATATTAATATGTTTCAGGCAGGTGATTGTTATAAGAATAGGCTAATCTTCCATAAGTGGGATAAGTTGGCATCAGACTATTTTGGCCTTCAAAATTTGGCAAATTTTTATGGTAGCAATGAGAGCACTAAGATAGGATTTTTACACTTAAACAGAATAGTAACTTTTAAGTTTTGCAGTTGTAAAACACCGTTATTTTATGTAAACAGAATAGTAAAATGAGATGATAAAATACTAGATGAGTAAAACAAAGTCCATGAGCTTTGCAAGTAAAAACATAATCCTCTCTATGTAATTTATGATAAAATAGTATAATGAATACTAAAATAATAAATTGTAAAACACTTTCCTCAGAAACACTCCTCCAAAATTGTCAACCAAGTAAATATATTCAAATTCACTTACAACGGATGTATCATAAACTCACAAAAATACGCAAGTTACTATCATCGGGGAATTTAACACACTAAAGAATTTTCATTCAAAACTTTAAACATTTCACATCTTTCAATTGCCACATGCAAGAAACAGAACTAAAAATAAAATAAAATAAAATAAAAATTAACTTACATGGAAAACGTTAACTAAATAAAAATTGAATGAAAGTGTTGATAAATTATAAACTTCACGTCATCTGAAATCCAACATTCTCGTGCGAACAACAGCTTAACCTCCTGTAAATATTAAGCAATAAAAGGTTGATCTTTGGATTATGGTAACTTGGCGATTTTTTGGCGAAAATTTGGCGACCAACTCTGCTACAGCAACCTTCTATTTTTTTTTTCGCCGCCATTTTGTCTTCACGAAGTACATGTTTCTTTTCTTTTATTTACTGAACACTTTTTCCAACAATCTACTAGCCGAATTACACTTATGCTAGAAATTTTATGTAACAAAACTGCTTAATCATGACAAATATTAACTGCAAAATTGGGAAAAAGTGCACAATCGCAAACTCCTTGCGCGTTTTTCAGAATAGCACATACACATAAACCATTTACACTCGACTTATTTTTACTTAAAAAAACATCCCAGAATTGCACAAAAAATGGCATTGCGCACACTCTTCACTTTATCCATGTACACTGCTATTTTCTCATAAATTACAAAAATTTGCACGAAAATGCAAAAAATTCTCAATCTTTAAACCCGTAAAAAGACATATATGAAATTACCTGATCACAAAAAAGTATATACCCTTTCCAAGATGAACATTTCCACATAAAATAAATAAAATATCCAAAAACTTTTACCTCTAAATTATCTATTACATTATAAACGTCACCAACGAATTCATACCGCAAACATTACAAATGATTACAAATACTTAGTGTCAAATATTTAAATTACTTCCATGCATGTTTACTTCAACTGAAACGTATACCAAATTCCTACAAACATAAAATTCACAAAATAAATATTATTTAATTAAAATATCAAACCATGTACACGTCGACTTATTTTTACTTAAAAAAACATCCCAGAATTGCACAAAAATGGCATTGCGCACACTCTTCACTATATCCATGTACACTGCTTTTTTCTCATAAATTAGAAAAATTTCACGAAAATGCATGAAAATACTCGTCCATTAATGTCACATATCTCATGATCTCTCATTTCCCTCACACAAAATAATGCGTAATCGGAACTGAGTACTTCTCACATTATGACCAAAGTCCTAGGTAGTAACCTTTATCGCCTCCAAAATGTCGCCAAACTACCAGTTACCATATTCCAAAGATCAGCCCAATAAAACTTTTAAAAACAAACACAGTATTTCAAAATTAAATTATAAAAAAAAAAAAAAAAATAGTCTTCTGGTAGAATCAATCGCCAAAATAAAGCTCTAGGTTTGTCACAGGAAAACATACAGCTGGAATCCACAACTAAACCAAAATTGCCCCAAATTAAAAACTCTCGCCAAATTTGGCACTCACTCCAATTATAGAAAATTAACCAGAATTTATCATGAAATGCATATGTAGGCACTTAGGAAGATGGTTCTGTTGTTAACTCTTTGAAAACCGAAGCCTTCACTAACTTATATGTTAAAATATTGTATGTTTTTAGCAAGAATAGATTGCTGTGCCATAAAGAGAACAACAACACAAAGAATCACAGGATTTAAAAAAAAAAAAAAAACACTTAAATTATTTTATTTTTTGATGAATGTTAAAAAAAAAAAAACACTTTAATTATTTTATTTTTTGAGGAATGTTAAAAAAAAAAAAAAAAAAAAAATGTAGTGGCATTAGATTCATCATTGTAATAGAGTTTAAGATATCCAAGCTAGCAGTTCTCTCCTAAGTCATCACTTTGTTCTGACTTTCTGTGGAGGTGCAGTTAATCAGAAAGTAACATTTTATTTATGTCATGACATCTTTATTTATTTGTTTTTTCATATTGTGTAGCTCCAAAATTAGCTTTGGTTTGCAAAGTGCTATTGAGATACGTCAGCAAGCTCATGTTTGCTGTGTGAGTATGGCTTTATATGAAGGAAATGCTCATGAAGCAGTACCATATGGAGTGCTTGATCCTAAAATGGTAAGAAACATTTTGTTAGTTATTCAAGAATTATAAAATGATTATTTACAGTATAGCTATCCATGGTAAGGACAGTATAGTTTTTCTTAATATTGTGATGTAATATATAAGTGCATTGACACAGCTCTGCTTTCTTGATTTTTGGTGTCTTATTCTAGTTTTGACTTTAATTTTTCATTTGTGCATAAATGCTACAAAATCATATACTCCTCATATGGATTGCTAAATGATTAAAGCTATAAAATGCTGATAGCTCTTTATTGAGTTGGTAGTTGTAGGATATTTTCTTCATATGTAAATCGAAAGCAAGTCAGTTTTGAGCCATGAATGCAATGCTTTTATTAGGCAGATAGCCCTTGTTGTAAAATATAAGCAATATTAAGCATGGTGGACCGAAAAAAAAAAAAAAAAAAAAAAAACTAAAAACGATTCACAGCAGAAAGTTAAAGGCCTTTTATGCCCTTTTTGGGTTAATCTTTGGATTATGGTAACTTGGCGATTTTTTGGCGACCAACCCTGCTACAGCAACCTGCTAGTTTTTGTTTGGATGCCATTTTGTTTTCACGAAGTAAAGGCAAATTTTTTTTTTTTTTTTATTGAACATTTTTTTCCAACAATCTGCTAGCCGAATTATGCTTATGCTAGAACTTTTATGGAACAAAAATGCTTAATCATGACGAAGATTAGGTGCGAAATTGGGAGAAAGTGCAGAATCGCAAATTGCTTGCCGCGTTTTTAAGAATTGTACATACACGGTATCCATGTACACATCGACCTATTTTCACTTAAAAAAACATCCCAGAATTGCATAAAAATGGCATTGCGCACACTCTTGACTTTATCCATGTACACTGCTAAAGTCCTAAGTAGTAAACTTTATCGCCTTACCAAAATGTTGCCAAATTACCTGTTATCATATTCCAAATATAAATCTAATCAATAATAAAAATCCCTTTTTGTTGTCTTTTAAACTTTATTTAACATCACTTTTTTCACACTTATGGTATATACAATTTAACAGTCAAATCATGAAATTTTTTTAGAATTCGAGTTTTAGTTTATAGTGTTAAATGTTTCCATATATTTTTCTGTTTTTCTCAGTTCATCATCTCAGTTTACAGTTTTCATAACAAGATGGGGGAGAAGCTGCAGAATCGCTCACTGCTTGGCAGGTTTTATGAATTGCACATACTCGGTATCCACGTCGACCTATTTTCACTTAAAAAAATCATCCCAGAATTGCACAAAAGTGGCATTGCACACACTCTTGACTTTATCCATGTACACATTGACCTATTTTCACTTAAAAAGTCAAAGAAAATTGACAAACATCCAATTCTTCGTAATCTCGTAGAAAGCGCCAAACAAATAAGTGGGCGATTCTGCACTTTGGTCACAAGATAACTATGCACCATTTTTTTCGTCTTACCAACATTATTTATTAAACATCACTTTCTTCGCTCTTACAGCATATAAAGTTTAGCAGCAAAATCACAAAATACAAATATTTAAAAACAAGCGTAGCTTTTGTATTCCCGATAGAGTGTTAAGTGTTGTTGTAGGTTTTTTTTTTAATATTCACTATATTATTTCCTTAAAAATAATACATGGCAATAACAGTTGGTAACACTGCTTTATTTGTATTGCCTTACATTTTTTATATTCACTATGTTATTTCTTTAAAAATAATATTTGACAATAACGCTGAAATGTAGTATACTGTGTGGTTGATAAGACACTTAAGCATTTCATATACACTGAAGTGACAAAAGTCATGGGATACCTCCTAATATTTTGTCGGTCCTCCTTTTGCCCGGCAGCAACTCGACGTGGCATGGACTCAACAAATCGTTAGAAGTCCCCTGCAGGAATATTGAGCCATGCTGCCTCTATAGATGTCCATAATTGTGAAAGTGTTGACGGTTCAGGGTTTTGGGCACAAACTGACCTCTCGATGATGTCCCATAAATGTTTGATGAGATTCATGTCGGGCGATCTAGGTGGCCAGATCATTCGCTGGAATTGTCTAGAATGTTCTTCTAACCAATCGCGAACAATTGTGGCCCGGTGACATGGCGCATTGTCATCCATAAAAATCCCATCGTTGTTTGAATACGTGAAGTCCATGAATGGCTGTAAGTGATCTCCAAGTAGCTGAAGGTATCCATTTCCAGTCAATGATTGGTTCAGTTGCACCAGAGGACCGAGTCCATGCCATGTAAAAACAGCCCAGACCATTATGGAACCACCACCAGCTTGAACAGTGCCTTGTTGACAACTTGGGTCCATGGCTTCGTGGGGTCTGGGCCACACTCGAACCCTACCATCAGCTCTTACCAACTGAAATCGTGACTCATCTGACTAAGCCACGGTTTTCCATTCGTTTAGGGACCAACCGATATGCTCACGATCCCACGAGAGTCGCTGCAAGCGATGTCGTGCTGCCAGTAAAGGCACTCGAGTTGGTCTTCTGCTGGCATAGCCCAGGGAAGACAAATTTCGCCGTACTGTCCTATCGGACACGTCCCTCATACGTCCCACATTGGTTTCTGCGGTTATTTTATGCAGTGTTGCTTGTCTGTGTACATTGACAACTCTACGCAGACGTCACTGGTCTCGGTCTTTAAGTGCAGGTGGTCGGCCACTGCGCTGTCCATGGTGGGATGTTATGCCTGAAATTAGATACTCTCGGCACACTCTTGACACTGTGGAACTCGGAATGTTGAATTCCGTAACGATATCCAAAATGGAATGACCCATGCATCTAGCTCCAAGTACCATTCCGCTTTCAAAGTCAGTTAATTCTCATCATGCGGCCATAATCACTTCAAAGCCTCTTCACATGAATAACTTGGAACACAAGTGAAAGCCCTGCCAAAGCACTTCGCATTTATACATTTTCTACGTGATACTACTGCCATCTGCATATTTGCATATTGCTATCCCATGACTTTTGTCACTTCAGTGTAATTGGTAGTGAAGAAAATCACCATTTTCATGATTAATTTCCAAAATCAGCTGCTGATTGAAATCTAAGTGTGCTTTGTACAGGCAGCAAAACTATTCCTGTGAACGATTGTTTTGCATGATTTTAACTCTCTGAGTGGCGCAGGATTTTAGATCCGTCATCATGACCAGTATTTAAACAGCATTTATTAATTGAGTTTGTATAATTATTTATGTTAGTCTCTATTTTCATAAATACTATGGTACATTCATTAAGATGATATTTACATTATTAAAGAAATGAAGAAAGCAAAATATCTTAAATTATAAGCTAATATATGTCAAGTAGCAAAACTTCTGTTGACCGGATAAAGCTGGTCATAATGCTCAGAGAGTTAATTGCCTTTTGATATTCTTTAATAAGTATGAATTCTTTCCAAGTGTAAATGAACCATAACGTTGCGAGAAATGCTCCTTGTTAGCCAGAGACCGTAGAACCAATTTCTAACATGAATGCCTGATTAATCTTCGGATTATGGTAACTTGGCAATTTGTTGGCGAAAATTTGGCGACCAACCCTGCTACAGCAACCTGCTAGTTTTTTTTTTTACTCAACATTTTTTTCCAACAATCTGCTAGCCGAATTATGCTTATGCTAGAACTTATATGGAACAAAAATGCTTAATCATTACGAAGATTAGGAGCGAAATTGGGACAAAGTGCAGAATCGCAAACTTGCTTGCCGCGTTTTTAAGAATTGCACGTACACCACGGTATCCCATGTACACGTCGAACCTATTTTCACTTGAACAAACATCCCAGAACTGCATAAAAATTGGCATTGCGCACACTCTTGACTTTATCCATGTACACTACTAAAGTCCTAGCTAGTAACCTTTATCGCCTTACCAAAATGTCGCCAAACTACCTGTTACCATATTCCAAAGATTAGCCAAATGCCTTTTATTTTCCTGCAACATCATGTGAAAATTATTATAAAATATGCCACTGTTCTGTTATCGGGACCAGATTCAGAAATGTATGAATGAATGCTTGTGTGTATGTATGTGCATATATGTGTATATGTATACACACACATACATTCGTGCTTACATATATACATGCATACTTGAACACATCCATCCATCCATATATACATGCATGCATACATACATTTCTGAATCCGGTCCTGATAATAGAACAGTACCTAAAATAAATCTGTATATCAGTGGTGAAAGTGTTTGGCGATGTTGCCAATTGCCAAACACTTGATGTTGCTACTTTTGATGTTACATCTCTAAATACTTTCATTATTGATATGCAGATGCATTTTGGAACTGTATCTACATATTCTGTGGTAAGGTAAAATCTCTTTTTGTGAATGAATATTACATATGGTTTGCATCACTTTTATTTGTAAAATTTATGAAACATTGGTATATAGGAAATAAAAAATCTTTTAAATGTATATTAATAGCAAGTGGAGAAATGTGACCACCAGAAATTATATGTTTTGTTATCTTTTTACTTTTCTTCTGTAACATTTTTTGTTATTTCTGTACATTTTGTGCTTGGCATTTTTTTCATGCCACATGCAATTTGTGCTTGATCTTGTTTTATTTTAACATTCATAACATAAATGTATCAATAGATGTTGGAAAGTTGTAGAAAGAAGCCATATTAGGGGTGGCTTTGTATACGGAGATGCAGGAATAAAATCAAACTGTTTATAGAATTGTGAAAGAATCAGAGTACAAAGTAAAGTTACCCAGGACATTCATGAACAGTGGTGTAATTCTGTGTTCCTATCTCTTATCTATGCAAGTGGCTAAGTAGTTAAGACCACTGGCTTTGTATACAGACATACAGTGAATAAAATCACACTGTTTAGTGAAATGCAGAAAGAATCAGAGTACAAAGTAAAGTTATCCAGGACATTCACGAACAATGGTGTAATTCTCTGTTCCTGTCTCTATCTCTACCAGTGGCTAAGTAGTTAAGACCACTGAATATTGGTATATGGTCCAGGTTAGAACCCAAGTGAATGGTCTGTT